CTTCCGTTGAAATGCGCGTGCACACAGCTGTGTGTGTGTGTTTATAGGTCTGCGTGCATTCTTGCTCCCCTGCTGCATTTGTGCCCTGTGCTAATGTGTGTATGAGCTTTTATTTTATTATTATCAATTTATTTATTTTGATAGAGACAGAGATAGTGTGAGTGGGGGATGGGCAGAGAGAGAAAGAGAATCCCCAAGCAGGCTCTGCACTGCCGGCTGCAGAGCCCGATGCGGGACTTAAACTCATGAAACCGCAAGATCATGACCTGAGCCAAAACCAAGAGTCAGATCCTTAACCGACTGAGCCCCCCAGGCGCCCTGTGCGTATGAGCTTTGTGAACGAGAACTCCCGCAGAGAGAACGAAAGAGCCACAGCCCAGCACCGCGTGGACTTGCACGCCCTTCCCACTCATTAGCCCCGGAGGCTGCGTGTGACTGGTGGGTGGCGGCGGCAGCAGCTGACACTCCTGTGACAGCTTTAGGCCCTGAAAGGCCTGGTCATCTGCATTTGCCTCTCGGAAGGCAGGAAAGGGGACTGATCCCAGAGCTGTGGCCTGTGCTGCTTCTTCTGGTTCTGCCCTGAAGTTTGGGAGGACTCTCTCTTTGGCCCAGTATTTGCAGGAGCGTCACAGGCCAAACCAGTGCCTCTGTTACTCTGTCCCCTCCCCCGCACCCCAGCACCACGTCCGAGCATTTTGGAAATAGCGTCCGCAGTGTGCATGGGGGTTTAGAATGGAGGTCAGCAAACTGTGGCCTCTGGGCCAAATCTGGCCCCCTGTCTGGTTTTTTTGTCAATAAAGTTTTATTGGAACATAGCCATGCCCGTTCGTTTACATAATTATCTGAAAGGCCTAGAATATTTACCAGCTGGCTGCTCACAGAACATGTTTGACTTCACAGAGACATTAAATTTGATCTGCTCAACATTTCAGACACTTGGGTCTTGGCTCAAGACCAGTGCCCATCATAGGATTGAGTGCAGTGACCAAGAAGATGCATAACAGTGAACTTTGTTCAGTGTGCAGAGCACAGCCTGGAAAATAAAAATAACATAAAAGCAAAAGTGAAAATGCCAGTTGTAGCAGGTCCTCTCTGGAACGCTGCCTCAGTTGAATCTTAGCTAAGCTCGGGATACCCAGGGTTCCAGAAGCAAAAAGAGCCTCGGGAAGGCTAAGGGTGAGTCCTAGGCAGTGGCCCAAGGTGCGTGAGTCTCCCCCAGGATTGGAAGGCCCGGGGGCAGCACTGGTGGAGGAGAGCAAAGCAGGGAAGTGCACATGGCCTGGGGGGAAGAACCGTACTGGCTCCTGGAGACCCACGGAAGGGCCGATCTCTGTGGCCACATTTAAAACTGAAAGGAAGGGGGGGCAGTCGGATGGCTTCAGTGACTTTGCATGGCAAGGAGGTGGCTGGGTGTGGACAGCAGGTCTACGAGAAGGAAGCATCAGCTTTGACCATAGCCTGGACACGGGGTGGGGACAGGCAGGTGACAAGTGAGTCAAGGATGGCTCTAGGGTTGCTATGGTAGTTGACCACTTGGGGGTGGCTCTGAAGGCCAGAGCAGCAGCAGCAGCAGAGTGGGTGGGCCGTGTCCCCTGGACGGGAGCCACCCCTCTTCCTCCCAGAGACTCGCCCTGCTGTACGTCACATGGTCCAGGGACCCCCGAAAGGACCCTCCCTCTTGGATGGTTCCCTGGGTTGCTGGCCCAGGAGGGTAGGGGCTTAGCACAAGGGCCGTGCAGATGGACTTGCCTGGAACCGGGGACTCTCAGAGCTGGTCTCACCTACCTGACCAGCCACCGAGGTTATGCTGTCTTTTCTGTTGGCTCGTTCTGAGGCTGGACTGACTTTGTGGCCTCCAGATTCCTCCCCACGTACATCTGCCTCCCACCGCGGCACTCCGTCTTCAGCCGAGATGATGTGCGAGGGCCCTTGTCTGGCTCAGAGGTTGGCCGAGCTTGGCCAAGAATAGGGACCAGCTTATTCTCATAAAGTTTTATTGGCACTCAGAGCTGCTCGTTTATCGACGCACATCCCGGGCTGCTTTCAGGCCACAAGGCAGAGCTGTGCAGTTGGCAGAGGCTGCCTGGCCTCAAAGCCTGAAACTCTCTAGCCCTTTAAACGAGAAGTTTGCTGATCCCGGGTCATATGTATACAGGCCTCAGCTCACAGGCCTGGGAGCTCCCTTCCTCTCTCCCTTTCTTACCCCCCATCCCTTCCCCAGCTCCACCTTCCCCATTCTCCATTTCCACCCATTTCTCTCCAAAGAGCTTTCTTTTTTTTTTTTTTTTTTCCTGTTTATTTATTTGGAGAGAGAGGGAGAGAGAATCCCAAGCAGGCTCCGCGCTGCCAGTGAAGAGCCAACATGGGGCTCGAACTCACGAACTGTGAGATCATGACCTGAGCCAACACCAAGAGTCAGGATGCTTAAACCACCTGGGCCACCCAGATGCCCATCTCTCCAAGTGGTTTAAATTAATGTGTTGCAAGGACTTCTCCCCACCTTCCTCTCCCACGTGTCCTGCCCACCCAGTGTCGCCCCGACCCCCAGCCTCCTCCTGACTCCCCGACCTGGGCCCAGCCTGGGAATGCTGAGGTGCTGGGCTAGATCCCACCGAAGGGCAGTGGCCGCTGTGCTCCAGGAAGCAGTGAAATGAGCTCTCTGAGGACTGCTCCCTCCCGTCCTCCAGAGAGCTGACTTGGGTCCCCACCAGAGTCCTGCACAGAGAGGTCACGGGGCACCAGCCAGGGGGAGGTGCCCAGCAGGGATGTGATATGGGTACTCTGACTTGGAGAACTGCCCCGGACCCGCTCAGGGAAATACTCGGATGGAGCCTGGGGAGACATGGAAGAGGGGGGCAGTCAGGGAAGGCTGCAGCCTGGTGGCCCCCGATCTCTGCACTTACCAGGACCATGTTTGCACCCCGGAACTCTGGCTCTCTCCACCCCCACCCCCACACAGCCTGGCAAGCACCCGGGTGCCCCCTCTGGGGTCACAGGCGAGTCCTGGAGGTTTCAATGGATCTCAGGACTCAGTGGGCCTGAAAGCTTGAAATTGGCGATCTAGGACATCAGGTCACAATGTCCACTGAACTTTCCAGAGCCAGGGTGGTCCTCTAGGTGCAGAGGGACTCCTCTGCCCTATACCAGCTTTGCGCACTTTTGACACAAGAAGTCCTAGCTTGTCTCTGAAGAAATGACCATGCGTCAGGGTATGAACAAGCCTTCCATCCCGCACCAGAAAGAGGAGGGTGAGAAGCGTGGCGTGCTCGCTCAGATGCGGGAGGGGGGTCCAAGTGTTCCCGCACAGGGACGTTTATTCTGCCGAGAGCCAGCCTCCTAGAGGCCTGGCCGCCCTGAAGACGTGGTCCCAGGGGAAGGAGGCCCTTCCAGGTTAGCGGGGAGACCCTAGAGAGACAGCAGGGCCCACTGCAGACACCTCCCCACCTCCTAGCCCTGCTGGCCTCCAGGCACCCCACTGGGAGGCCCGTGGCCCCCTCTCCCAGATTCCCCCGCACGGTCCCTGCCCCCATCTCCCTGCCGATGCTCCATCACTCCCGTAGTGGAAGAGCTGGGGGCCGCCTGCAGAGGGGAACCCCCGGGAACCCCCTCCCCAGGCTCCTTTGGATTCTCTTCACCCCAGGCACCATGGCCTCTCCCGGCCCCTCCAGTTGCTCACTCAGTTGCATTTACTTAGCCAGGAGGCTGCTTCTCCCTTATCTGGTTGGCCCTAGGAGCCTGTCCCCCAGACCAGACAGCCAAGAGTCCCTTCCACGGGCCAAGGAGGTTTGTGATGACAGAAAGAAGCTTTTCTCGAGGGAGACTCTGGAAACCAGAGTGGGCATGCTCTTTTCCCTTCGCCAAGGCTGGACACCAAGGCCAGGAATGGGAAGGGGGGTCAGTCCGCCTCACGTATCAGACCCTCCTCCTTGGTCGTAGTCCTCGCGGTACAGCCAATGGAGAGGAGGGGACAGATGCAGAGAGGCCTCTCCTCCGACCCCATGGCCTGGTGAAGCCAGAGTGGGAGGAACAAGGTGTTTCGGAGTTGGGCCTCCTCCCCAGATGGGCTGTTGAAGGGTGTCGCTGGGGAAGAGTGACGGTCCTCGGGGCGCCTGGGTGGCTCAGTCGTTTAAACGTCCGACTTCGGCTCAGGTCATGATCTCATGGTTCGTGGGTTGAAGCCCCGCATCGGGCTCTGTGCTGACAGCTAGCTCAGAGCCTGGAGCCTGTTTCGGATTCTGTATCTCCCTGTCTCTCTGACCCTCCCCTGCTCACACTGTGTCTCTCTTCTTCTCTCAGAAATAAATAAAACATTAAAAAAAAAAAAAAAAAGAGTGACGGTACTCTCAGTGTTGGTCCAGAACTACCTGGGGATGGGGGGTGAGAGCCTTCATCCTCACCTGACCAGGGGCCATGAGAAGGGCGTCACTGGTGGCCGCGGCCCAGGAGGGACACGGGACTTGCTGGGGATGTCACTGCAGCCTCAGGGACCGGCAAGCCAGGAGGCCCCAAGTGGGCTTTCCGCCTGCACCGGGGTCCCCTTCCCTAGCAGGGACCCCTAGAAGCAACTGTGCTAGAAAAGAGGAGGGGCTGGGAAATGGAGTCTAGAAGCTTCAGCCACCTGGTCGGGGCTTCACTTTCCCTCCAGACAGCAGGGAAGAGACGTAGCTTCCCTTTGCTCTGCCCAAGGAAGATGCCCACCGCCCCGGGGCCAATTTCAGGACCCATGCCAACTTGGCCTTTTGCCCTGGGAAACGTGATAAGGTGTCTGGAGAGGGTCGTGTAGCCGACGCCATTGAGAGTGAGGCCTGGTCCCCGAGCCCAAGTTTCCCGGCCGACTGCTGGTAGACAGCCCCTCCCTGGCAGTGTAGCCGTGGGGCCAGAGCCCTGCATCTGAGGAGCTGGGAGCGCAGGGCCTGGGGTTGCTGGGACACGTCCCGGTTACCGCGTTCCCCTTCCTCCCGCACGCCCCGCTCACCCCGGTTCCTCTTTCCATCCATTAGGCACCACCGAGCGCCCCGCGGTCTGCAGAGGCCACCTGGAAACCTTCCCTGGGACTTCTGTCTGGGCCTCGTTGGAAAACTGGACAGGCGAGCCCGCGATTGATGAGTTTGCCTTGGGAGTCCGCGCAAAGGTGAAACCGAAGGCGAACATGGGTCAGAAGGTCACTGGGGGCATCAAGACTGTGGACATGCGGGACCCCACATACCGGCCCTTGAAGCAGGAGCTCCAGGGCCTCGACTACTGCAAGCCCACCCGCCTGGACCTGCTGCTGGACATGCCTCCCGTGCCCCACGACATCCAGCTGCTCCACTCATGGAACAACAATGACCGGTCGCTCAACGTCTTTGTGAAGGAGGACGACAAGCTGATCTTCCACCGGCATCCGGTGGCCCAGAGCACGGACGCCATCAGGGGCAAAGTCGGGTACACTCGTGGGCTGCACGTGTGGCAGATCACTTGGGCCATGAGGCAGCGGGGCACGCACGCCGTGGTGGGCGTGGCGACGGCGGACGCCCCCCTGCATTCCGTGGGGTACACAACCCTCGTGGGGAATAACCACGAGTCCTGGGGCTGGGACTTGGGGCGCAACCGGCTCTATCATGACGGCAAAAACCAGCCGAGCAAAACGTACCCGGCCTTTTTGGAGCCGGATGAGACATTTATTGTCCCCGACTCATTCCTCGTGGCCCTGGACATGGATGACGGGACCCTGAGCTTCATTGTGGACGGACAGTACATGGGAGTGGCTTTTCGAGGACTCAAGGGCAAAAAACTGTATCCTGTGGTGAGTGCCGTCTGGGGCCACTGTGAGATCCGCATGCGCTACTTGAATGGCCTCGACCGTAAGTGTCTTCTGTGCTGTCCGGTGTGGCAGCATTCCTGGATTCCTTGTGCCCCCGGGGTCCTGGCTGGGCCTGGCCAAAGTTCACAGTCATTGGAACTAAACTGCCTTTAGGTAGACATCCCAGCGTATTCAGATACTCAGAGGCCACTCTTGCCTTCCTCTGCTTACATGAAGAATTCTAGCAGGAGTCAGCCAGATTACCTGATAGCACCTCGTGGATGGATGAATGAGTGGATAGATGGATGGATGGATGGATGGATGGATGGATGGATGGATGAGTGGATAGATGGCGGGTGGGTGGGTGGATGGGTGGATGAGTGGATGGATGGGTGGATGGATGGATGAGTGGGTGAGTGGGTGGATGGATGGATGGATGGGTGAGTGGATGGGTGGATGGATGGATGGATGGATGGATGGATGGATGGATGGATGGATGGATAGAAGGATGAGTGGATGGTTCGATAGTTGGATGAATAGATGGATGTGTGGATGGATGGATGGATGCCTGCACAGATGCTCATTTTTTCCAGTTTTGATCTGCAGTTGGCCAAATTCTAGCACAGTAGCCAGGGTATTATTGAGCTGGGGTTTGCAGTCTTGGGGGTAGGAGGACCTCTTACAAAAATGAAAGCCAGTGTCCTCTCTTGCTCATTAGGCAGGTTTAGGGTCTCTCTCTTCTGGTGCTGGTGTCTTCTGAGCTGGTTCCTCTGGGGACAGAGTCCCCTGGAGGGGCTTGTTCAGTCAGGATGTCAGGCCTTTGGGGAGGACCATGTGGATTAGAAGCAGGCTGAATCAGCAGTGATTTCCACTGGTCCTTTGGAAAAGGCAGTGGCCTTTCTCAGACCACATGTGAGAATAGCCCACATGTGGCAACACTGTCATCCTAGTTTAGGGAGTGGAGAAGGTTCTATGGGTGGCTTTGTGGCTGGGACCCCATGGTGGCAGGAGGTCCCAGAGTTCCAGAACTGTCCATCCCCATGCTTGGCCCTCACTCTCTCCTGGGCCCCTTCTACCATCTGCAAACCCCACCCCTAAAAAGGGGGTGATACAGAAAGCTTTGCCCACCCATGTGCTGGCCATTTTTAAGGGGCAAGTTTGGCCTGGCACCCCAAGATCTAACCCCACCCCTTAGGCCGGGTGAGCAGTCAGGAAAGCCCCTGCTGGGGTCAGAAGCACAAATGCTTACCCTGCTCATGCTGCCTCCAGACCTTCAGCTTCTCCCATGCCCCTTCCCTACCTCAGCCTTGGAAGATACCAGAGAGAATATCCAGGGACACAAAGCAGAGGTAAGCTTTAAGCCTCCACCGCCCCTCTCTCCCTCGCTCCTTGCCCCTGGCTTTGGCTGGGTGATGGCAATGAACTCACCTGTGCAACCTGGTACCCCTAGGTCATGGGCTCCCAATAGGAGCAGTCAGGTGTTCGTCCAGCAGGTAACCTCCTCCCGGATGTTCTCTCAGACCCGGTCTAGGGAACTAGCAGAGCAAGTTCTGTGAGTCTGTCTCCACAGTAGAAAGTCTGCAGCCAAATCTGCCTGGGCCCGGATGGACAGGGACTGGCAGAATCTGGCACATCCTGCCCTGCACCTAGGATCTCGGGAGCTCTGGCCCTGGCGGAAGGGTGACCACAGCCCCAGGTCGTTCCATACCCACTCTGTGCAGCCAGATGGATGAATGAATTGCCTCCCCTCCTCCGTGTTGCCAGGTCACTGGGGCTCTTGGTCTCCACAGAGCAGTCCCGCCCCCATGCCCTCCAGGAAGAGGGCCATCCGTGTTGTGCGTTTTCAGGGTCCCACTGTCCCCACAGCCAGCTCTAACACAGGACGCAGACACCCCCCCCCCCCAGTGGCCCAGAGGGGACCAGCCTGTTCACCGTGGCAAGTCAGGGCACACTCAGCCAGAGCTAACCCTCTGTGGAGTCAGGGCGAGGCCCCAAAGTGTCCTGGAGGCCCAGACAGGCATCTTATAAATGGATGTCTTGTTAGCTCTGGGTCAGGTGGGACGTCGGACACTTCTGTGATCTTCTTGCTGGGGAAGTGTTCAAGGGTCGAGCGGAGTGGGGCACGGGCATGGCAATGCGTTGCTGAGAGCTACACTTGCCAACAGGGTCTTGGGTGGAGACTCCCAAGTACGAGGTGGCCGGAGCTCACCTGGGGTTCTCGTGATTAACGGTGAGGACACCTCCCTCCCCGGAAATGCGGTGCCGAAGCTGAAGCCAAGTGTGCCTCCCCCAGAGGCAGCAAAGACCATCCCGGGGGCATCCAGGCCGCAGCGACGGAAGGGTTCACTTGAGAGGCAGTCGGACTAGGAGACAGGAGGCCAGGCGTCAAGTCCGCCTCCGTGAAGGCAGCATCAGGGAAGTTCAAAGGCAAGAGGAAGAGGTCTGGGTAAAAAGTTGGGTTGGCTCGTGAGTCTGCAGCTGCGATCGGTCCCCTGAACTCTTTGGTTACCGGGTTGCGGTGCCGAGCAATACCGGGGCGCCCTTCCCTCTCGACTTCCACAGTCCCAGTCCATTGTGCATGGGCCCCGTTCTGCACACCCAGCTGAGTTTGGAGGATACAGATAGGAAAACCCGTGAGGCTGGTGTAGCACCAGCAGCCAGACACACCCACAGAATAGGGTAAATGGCAGCCTCACCCGCACACCCACTCCTCGGTTCTGTACCGGGAGCACCTCGTGCCCCAGAAGGACCACTCTGGCTGCTGCACAAAAGTGAACCGTGGGGGCAAGAGTGGCCGCTGGGAGGCAGGGAGGAGCCGTGACATGTCCAGGGGAGAGGTGACCGGCGCTGGGGCCAGGGTGGGGAGCGTAAGCTTGAGACGCTAGACGCACACAGAGGTGGCTCTGTCTGAAGACAAGGTGGGTGTGACAGTCACCCATGGCTGTGACGGTGTGTGAAGCTGAGATCCCTGGATGAGCTCGCCTAGGGAGGGAGCAGGCAGGGCTGAGGCCGGGCCCTGGGGCGTGTCGATGTTTCGGGGTCAGGTGGACAGAGGGGAGAGGAGGCGGAGCGGCCATGGGGCTTGAGGGGAGAGCAGTTTCCTGGACAACAAGTGAAGAAAGGACTTTAGGAAGGACGAGGAGATGCCAGGTCCGGTACGGTGATGGCTGAGAGTCGTCCATCAGCTTCAGCAACAAGGCCATCCCTGGTGACCTTGATGGAAGTCGTTAGGGTTGGGGTGGGGGGAGGGTCAGAAGAGGAACAGGCAGGGTGGTATGTCCGATGGGTGCTTCAACCACCAGAATGTAATCTCACACAGTTCCGGAGGCCAGATGTCCAAAATCGAGGTGCCCAGGGTTGGGTCCTCTGAAGAGCGCCCTTCCCAGGCCTCCCTCCTGGCTTCGTCTGGTTGATGACTGTCCTCACTGTGGACACATTCCTCCGTCTCTGCCTCCATCACCACATGGCCCCCTATGTCTCTCCTCATCTTATTGGCCCACCAGCCATTGGATTCAGGGCCCACCCTATTCCAGCACGACCTTACCTTAGCTAATTACATCTGCAAAATGCTGTATCCAAGAGGGCCATGTTCTGAGGATCCAGGTGGTTCTGAACTTAGAGCAGGGTGGGGGGCACTCTTCTCACTGTAGATGTGGAGGTAGAAATTCTAGATCGTTCCCAGGAGACCTCCGTGCTACCTGCCACCTGAGGGGAAGGTGAGACGGCACTGAGATGGGGTGCTCTTTGGGTGAGGTCAAAGGGCGCCTAAGTCTTCTACCAGGAGGGTATGCTTTACCGTCCGAGGCAGCTGAGGACGGGGGACTGTCATGGCAGCCCGGGTCCCTGGTCCGTGGTGGGAGCAGAGCGTGACGGGCAGCAGGCAGGCCTGGCCAGATACATCTTGTCAGGGTCACATACAACCTCTGGGGCGGTCTGACCTGTTCATCTGGGAAGTTGTCTGTGCCCTCCCTCCCCACCCCTCCCCACCCCAGCCACCCGGCCCTGACCTCAGCAGGGAGCAGCGAGCGGTTTGCGGAGCCGGTCAGCCAAAGTTGCTGCTGTGCTCGCTGCTGCTCTCCCAGCCTCCTGCCCCTGCGTGACCTCCCCGCTGTCCAGCCGCCTCTGACCACAGCCCACTTGTTCTGACTCCTTGAGCCTTGAGACCTTCTGGGGCTGACGCAGCCAGAGGGGCTGTGGTCTCACCTTCCTCTTTCCTGGGGCGAAGGGGTGGAGCTGGACATTGTACTGGGGAGACATGGCCCAGCTTGGGCTGCCTGGTCCCCCGACTCCCCCACCTGGAGACGCAGAAAGAAAAGAACTCCTTGCAAGCCTCAGACTGGCCGTCACCCGAGGGAGAGACCCTGCCCCATGGGCCCTCCCCACTCCCACTGCTTGTAACAGCGTCTCCCACTAAGGAAGCATTTTCCCTGTGGTTCGGCATTTGCAAACTCCCTTCCATAGCTCCCAGACAATTCAAATTGGTGAGGTCTGTCCTGATTGTGGTTTGGAGGCAGCTCAGCTCTTTTCCTTAGGAGCCTTTTGACTGGGCCACCTCTTCCTGGTGTCCTCCTAGCCTCCCGGGATGCCCTCCCGGGGCGCCCCACCCGCTGGTGGCTCCCTCCTGCACCCCCATCCCAACTGGGCTCCGGGGAGGTGCCCTGGTCAAGGATCCTGATCACCCAACCTGGAAGGCTTTCCTTCTGGGGGGGAGAGGCCACTTGGGAGGGAAGGGTTTGTTCTAGAACCCCTGGCCCTCCTAGAGGCTGGCCACATGAAGACATCAGGCTCTCAGAGTCGGGGGAGCGGGCAACCAAAGGTGCCTCATTCCCAGCCACGTGTCAGCCTTCTTCCCTGGTTGCCAAGGACAAGGGGCCGGTGTTTTGTTTTGCTTCTGTTCGGTAAGACCTGCTCCCTGTTAAGGAGAAATGCACACCTGCCCTGGGATGGCCATCGTCCAGCCATGACTTTCTAGAATCCATCTCACAGAGCATTCCCACCATTAGCTGCTTGCTAACGGTCACCGGAGCGGCAGAGGCGTCGGGTGGGAAGGGGAATGCGGCTGAATCAGGGGCACTTCCTGGCACATCTGTCCTTGACCTCCCACACCCACAGCTCATTCATTTAGCCCGTGAACTGTCACAGCCCCTGGGCTCTGGAGGCGTGAGCTGGGCAGCAGGAGAGCCCCCGGCCGCCGTGCTGGGCCGTGCATGTTCAGATAGGCCACCAGGTAAACATTTCTCCTAGAAATGTGGAAGCCGGCGCATAGACCATCCAGTTCCTCAACCTTCTGCTCCCGTAAATAGCACCCAACTCACTTCCCGCTCAGTGCCCGCCCCTCCCGTTCATACAAACTATGTAAAGTTTATGACGAGACCTCAGCGTCCCGGGGATGCGCAGAGCGGCCAAGGCACCTTGCTCGGGCCGTCAAATAAGTAAACTCTTGCCTTCCCTGCTTGGGAGCTTCCCCGGTAGAACTTGAGTGGGTACCTGACTTTGTTGGGTGGAGCTGGTACAGAGTCTGGAGGCCTTCCTGGGTTCCGTCAGCGACCAACTGAAATCAAGATGGACATTTTCCATGGTCTGGTGCCCACGTCTGTTTCTGTGGCCAGTGCACTCGTGGTCTGTGCCCAGCCATTGGAAAGCCATCAGACCGTGGCCCTATACATCATCGTTGACCTCACGTAAGACCCAGGGGGGAGTGACCCGTTTGTGCACTCGCGGCCCCCAAGGGCAGACCCATCCACGGGATGCTGGGATGACCGATCATATGTTTGGCTCGTCACGCGTCACTGCCTCTGTCAGCCGCTACTGCTGCAGCTCAGCCTGCAGATCGGGCCGAAGGACACGTCCCTTCCGGTTTCACAGCTCCTCCATTCAGTGTGGTCCAAAGATGGGCCGGCCGAGGAGGCTCCCCAGCGTCACTTTCGGTGGGGGTAGGAGGAGGTGGACGTAGGCCCTCGGCCCCCTGGGTTCTACTGCAGGGGGCCACCTGGACCTTCCTCCTCACGTGGGCCTACAGCAAGCCAGACTGCAGAGCAGGCCGGGCCTGGGTGTATTTTCACCTTCTAGCCCTCGGCTCTCACCCCCTGAGCCCGCTGCCCCCGTGCCAGCCGCAGGACACGTGCCCCGCAGCCACGGCCGCCGCGGGTGCTGGGATGTTAACGTCAGGTAGGCTGTCACCGAAAATAAGGCTCTGCTGTTAAGACACATTTCTCAGTGATGGTCCCCGTGGGATGCCGTGGACACCGTGAAGCTAAGAGGGTGTGGTGGGAACGCCCTCCATCTTCCCTCCGCAGCCCTGCATGGCCCTCTGGCCACATTCAAGGGCTCTTAATACTTTCTCAAGGACCTTCAGCCACCAGGGGAAGCCCCTTGGCCTCCCCATGGGGCTGAGCCGCATCCTGGAGGGAGAAGGGCTGGCCCGATGGGGGCAGGGGGAGAGAGCTCCTGAGTGGAGGAGAGCAAGGGCCACCGAAATCCCCCAGTCGGTCCACGGAAGGGCCCCTCGGCGCGTCCAGGGGAAGAGCCACCGGGAGACATTTGTGGCCGTCAGAATCTCAGCTGGAGGAGACTCTGGGAAGCATCTGGTCTGGATTGCAGATGGGGAAACTGAGGCCCAGGCCGAGGGAGTGGTCTACTCGAGGTCAGGCTGCCGTGTAGGGCAGAAGTGAGGAGCCAGATGTGAGGCCACTGGCACGGGATGGACAGGGGGACTCCAGGCCCTGTGGGCTTGCAGGCGGGAGAAACCGGCCCTGCTCCCTGGGGAGCCTGGGTTGCTTGACCCCCAAATGGCGGGAGATCATTTACTGCATTTTCCTGCCTCCAGGCAGGGCTCCGCGTAATCATCCTGCGCCGTCCAGGAACGGACAAAGCTTTTCATGAAAAACGCTTACCATAGTCCCTTCTCCCGCCGAGCTGCGGCTGGCCACCCGTGGGAGTCGCTTGTCTTCGAGCCAGGAGTTTAGTAAATGTCTTATCGAGCCCAAGACTTACTCTCATTTTAATAACAGCTCTATTGCCGTGTAATCCACGGGCTGTCCAGATCCCACATGTCGAGCGTAGGAGTCCGTGGTCTGGTACGTTCACGGTTGTGCAGTCGTCACTGTGATCGGTTCTAGAACACTTCCATCTCCCCGAAGGGAACCCGTACTCATCAACAGTCACCCCCAGACTCCCCCAGCGCCTCCGGAAGTAGGGTTTGCTCTTCAACACTTGGGTTTTTTTAACGTTCTTTTTCATAATCTGAGACACAGTCACGGACGTCGGAGAGCTGTGATCCACTTCTCATTGGGGGAAGGGGCTCTCACGGGAAATGCAGGGCTTTCTCAGTTGTTTTGGTCACAGAGGAGTCTTGGTGTCAAGGGGAGACCCTGGATGGAGCCCGGATGCGGTCGCTTCGGCTCTTCCCACGTCGGGGACGCCATGGGCCGGCCCTGAGCACCTCCAAGTGGGCTCACCTGCACCTTCACCTTGCTTCCGGGAGGAGAGCCAGGAAGAGTCATTTCCGGGGAGGCAGGGAGAGCGAGGCCCACTGTGCCCCCGGCCGCCTCCAGGACCTGGCAGCGAGCGACTGTCACACACCTTCTGGAGCACACAGGCTTCCCCTGGGAAGACAGGTCCCGGGCTGTCTGGGGACACAGGACAGAAGTGCTCCTTCAGGCTGTAGCCAGAGGTCCCTCTCAAATCCGGGTGCCTGAGGCAGCACTGCCGCGAGCCCCTGCCTCAGTTTCCCTGGCAGCCAGCTGAGATGCCCTGGCGGTGGCTGGGGCAGTCGTGGGGTCCCGACTGTGGAAGCTGGGCTCTGGGCTGACGTTCCCGCTCTGCCTTGCCAGGGCTCTCAGCTCCACTCTGTCGGGCGGAAGGAAGAGCTAGGACCGAGGCTTTCTGTAGACACTGCGTCTACAGGCTGGGGTGGCTGGGCCTCCTGTAGCGTGTCTCCTCGGGCCAGCGTTTCTTACATCTTACATGGTCTGCTGCCTAAGGATGTGGTTGTTGAGCCTGGATGGCCTGGCTTTGAACCCCAGACTGTAACCTGGCATGTTAGGCCCCCCTGCTTCGGTGCCTTCAGCAGTGAGCAGGGGATGGCTGCAGGACCCACGAGCGTGGGGCTCACCTAGAATATTCTCTTCCTGAACGCCTGCATGGGGTCTGGGGCCGGGGCACGTGTGGGGAAGGGCTGGCTTCCGTGTGCCCAGACAGTCACGCAGTGAAGGCTACTGCTCGTCCAGTGGGTCAGAGCAGGGAGGGCCTGGGTTCTGACCCCGCTGCATCTCCCACCAGCACCGTGACCTGCGCCGAGTTATTTGGACTCTCTATCCCTCAGTGTCCTCATCTGTAAAATGGGGCTGATGGTAATGATGCGTCCCTGTGTGCTTGTTAAGCCCCTCATAGCAAACCATAATAAACCATTAGGGGAGGGGTGCCTGGGTGGCTCCGTTGGTTAAGCATCTGATTCTTGATCTCAGCTCAGGGCACGATCTCATGCTTCATGAGATTGAGCCCCACATCAGGCTCCACAATGATGACACAGAGCCTGCTTGAAATTCTCTCTCCTCCCTCTCTCTCTGCCCCTCCCCCACTTGCCCTCTCTCTGTCTCCTTCTCAAAATAGATAAACTTAAAAAAAAAAAAAAGAACCAAAGTATCGGGCTGCGTCTAAAACATAAAAATAAATAATAAACCCTTAAGGGAGATGGTGTCGGTGGAGGGGTCACCAAGGCAGCCGCCCAGGCAGGTTCTCCGTGTCAGCTATTAACGGTTGACTTAAGATGTAGAATGGTCTCATCACGAACTAACATGATAGCACTGCCATCGTCCTGAGCACCGTTCGTTCCGGAGCCTTCCGGAGCCTTCCAGAGCTGCACTAACCTGCTGTCCTCGCTCTGTCCCCGCAGCCGAGCCCCTGCCACTCATGGATCTCTGTCGCCGCTCCGTGCGCCTGGCCCTGGGGAAGGAGCGTCTGGGCGAGATCCACGCGCTGCCGCTGCCCGCCTCCCTCAAGGCTTACCTCCTCTACCAGTGACGTTCTAGCCCCGCGTCGCCAGCACCGCAGCCGCCTGGCACCGCCTCACCGAGCTGCCGCCTGGCATCTGGCCGCGGGAGGAAGTCCCTGCTCTTCCTCTTCGTCCTCCTGGTCCCCTTGCCGGACACGGACTGCTCGAGCCGGGCTCCTCTGTCCCCGTCCTGACGTTGGCAGAAGCCCCCTGCATGCCGTAGGAGGTCCCTCTTTGGAAAAGGACACTTAGAACAGACTCCCAGGAAGCCCTGCGCTGAGCTCTGATCTGCCCTCGGGGTGGCGTGGGGCACCCCCACCACCCACTGGGTCCCAGTGCCAAGCGCAGATCCCAGGGCTGCTGACAGGTGCTCGGATGAGGGCTGGCGCTGAGGCCGGTGGGCCGTGCCACGGCAGACAACGCTCAGGGCGTCAGAAACTCCCCACGGACACCGAGGCAGACGCATGCCAAGACTGGACCTTCCGCCGGCACCTGAGCGCCCAGCATCAGCTCCGGCCGTCGGTCCCTCGGTAACCCTGTATTTATTCTTTTAACAATAACAGAAGCCATTTATTTATTCCACTTAGAAAGGAAACCTTGTTCCAGTACCTTCTCTCTGGAGTGTCCTGTTGCGTTTCTCCCACCTGCCCCTCCCTGGGATATGTGTGTACCTCACCCGCCCCTCTCGTCGGGCTGTGTCTGTGGTGTGTCCTCACCTGGGCATGGGGGTGTCTCTGGGGCTTTGGAGCCACAGTTTCCGGGGGGGCTCTGCTCCAAGTTCCCGAGCACGCCCTGCAGGGAACATTAGCCTCACGTGCACTATGAGAATCTCGGGGGACCCGTCCGCAAGGGCTGTGGCAGCTCCCTGTGTCTGTCCAGCTAGCCACTCACCGCTCGGCCTCGTACATCTTGCACGTGGTTTTATTTCTTCAGTCTTCTGGGGGAGGGCGGTGCTGCTTCTGCTTTTCCTTTCCTAGCTGAGATTTCCCACGTGCGTCCTCAGTGGCTCTGGCCCTCCCAGAGCCGGAACCAGGAAGGGAGGCTGAGTGGATCTCCTTCCCCAGAGAAACCAAGGGCAGAAACCTGGGGAGACCTCGGTGAGGTCGTGCCCCGCCCCCCCTCCCCGGAAGCCAGCACAGGCCCCCACTTAGTGCCCCTCTCTGGACTCTGCGCCCAAGTGGAACAGTCTCAGCTCATCACGACCCCCCAGAGCCACACGAGGTGCAGGGCGGGGCGGGACGGGGCAGCCAGCAGAGGAGGGTCACTAGTGCCCTGCCACAGCCCCCCCACGTAGCAGCCCCCGGCCCCTGCCACCGCGTTCACCGCCTTCTATCTCAAAGTCAATGCTCTTACAATCAGACTTCTGTTCATTTCTGTACAGGTACAATAGATGACTTTATTTGTTTAAATGTTTAATATATATACATATATATTTGTCTTTAAGAATTATGTTTTAAACAGCTGCTGTAGGGTACCTTTAAAAAAAAAAAAGTCTTCCAACGGAGTATTTTTTTAAAGCACAAAATTGGTACCAAGTCTGGGTGAGGAATGTAAATTACCCCCTTATTATTTTGGGTTTTTTTCCAAGGGCAGGGGGAGGGGGGAGGAAACCTTACCTGGAAGGCTTTTAAAGACTTTTCCTCACTCCCATTTCGAGGTGGGTCATGTTCTCACGAATGTTGCACACAAGAGAGTTTTACTTCTGCAGAGCCCAGCCTCGCCGCCTGGACCCAGCTGTCCCCCACCGGCGCTGGATGAACTGCGGACTCTTCGTCATTTCTCTGCACCTCTGTCCCCGGCTTTCCAAACCCCTGCCCCACCCTTCTTTCCTCCCAGCCTAGAACCTTGTGACCTGTACAGTTTTGAAACTCCTGTTCTATTTTATGATGGTTAATAATAGTCAGTAACCTAATAAAGGAAAGTTTATTAAAATACAGAGCCACGTTTGAGTCCCTCTCTGTGCCTCGGGGGAAGCGTAAGGGGTTGTGGCCAGGCCCTCCCTGCACACGTACAGTTCTCAGTAGATGCTAAGGTAATCCCCAGGACCCTTTGGCAGAGGGTGGGATGCCCACCAGGGCCCCAGTGAGGAGGAGAGTCCTAGAGAGGTGATCCTAGAAAGTCCTCAACCCTTCTCAGGAGTCTGTGAGCCTGCGGCCCAGACCAAGACTTTCTGCGCCTGATAGAAAGGATTCTGCTCCTCAGGGAGAGCCTCTAGCTCATCCGAGTCCTACACTGAGTTGACACCGTGGGCTTTGTAAGGGGCAGGATGTGAGCCCAGGCTCTGCACGCTCCCCTTTGTCCCCCGGTGCCCAGCGTTCATGATGCCGATGAACCTTCTCTGAGAACCTGTCCTGCGGGCTGCTGAGCGCGGGGCACCCCCCTCATCCCCTAGCAGAGAAGACAGGAGATTCAGGCTTATTCAGAGGATCGGCGAGGGATCCGTGAATACTCAAGAAACTGACTAGATAGGATCACATGTCCTGACTGGTTTCCAAAGATTTGGCAAGAAAGCATTTCAGCTGCCTGTGGGCCTGTCAGGATCTCGTGGTGCTGTGCAAAGTGCCCTGGTCTGAGGCCCCAAGACCCTTAGGACCAAAGTCCCGTGTCCCTTCCCCTGGCAGCCGCCTGGCCAGCTCTCCTCGGACTACCTGCACCGGCATCACATGGGAGGTATTGGCTAAAACGCACGTTTTCTCAGAGCCCTTGCCTGAGATGAACCGGATCGTTTCTGGGGCCAGGCCAGGGATCTGCAGCGTTCTCGAACTCCCCGAGTGACCTTGCCTAAGAGAATTTGGGGACCACTGTTTGCGACTGTATCAGCTCTTTTTCTGGGCAAGTTGCTGAGGAAAGGAAATTCTTTCAGTGTGTCGGTGGGTTGTCCCGGCAACGAGCACAGGGACTCCTGAGTCAGACCTGGGTTCAGATATTGGCTCTGACTCCCCCTCACCGCGTGCCCTTGGATGAGCCTCCATCAAATGGCAGTCCTCACACTGCCCGTCTCGTGGGAGGGTAGCGAGGGTGGAATGAGGCTTTAGAACAGGGCCCAGCACACGAGCGAGGGCGCTAACACGCGCTTTAAAAGCTCATGCACTTCTGTTCTGGAAAATGACAGTTACTGGAATCGGTCTCTGAGAGTCGTCCAAACATCCCTAACCCCAGCTTCCTGATAATGTCCTTTCTTCTTGGGTCTCCAGAGAGCCAGGTAGGCACTGGGGAAGAGGGAGCCCTCAATACCTTCCCCGGCTGCGTCTGGAGGAAACGGGTGGCCTGAAATTATTTTTCGGTTGGAGTTCATGCGTGGGTTGCAGCTGGGACTCCTCTAGCTTTGAAGGATGTAGCAGGGGGAGGAGCGGGGTCAGGCGGTGGGTGGGGGTGGGGGTGGGGGTCATGGAAGCCCGGGGAAAATAAGGGCCTTTGTACTGCCTGGAGACTTCTGGGGGAGCAGGGCTTTCGTGTGGAAGGGAGCAGTCTTAATAAAACCATCTTGCAGACCGGCCCATGTGGTTGTAATTAATACCCTGCCTTCGAGCAGGTAGCCGGCCTGGGGCTTGGCCGTAGATGGGAAGAGCGCCCCCCCCCGCCCCCGACTCCCCGCCACCTTCCTCCTGCAGAAGGCTTCCCACCCACCCTCTCCCTCCCTCGCCTCCTCCTCAGTGGCGAGATGAGGAATGTGGACTTTACTGAACCATAAAGTATGCCGGGGGAGCTGGGGAGGGGGCCGAAGACAGCAATTAGTTCATGCTCCAGTCCAGACACCCAAACATGGTTCGAGTCCAGCTGCAAGGAATATTTGAAATAAATGAGCTGCCCGGGGCCAGGAGTTTGCTGTGTTTGCTGTACGGGGGCCATGGCAACCAGGGAGAAATCATGAGCTAGGAACTGGGCTGTAGAATCGACAAATGATGTCGGGCCGAGCAAGCCCAGAGGAAGCCGCTCACGGCTCTTGGAGGGCTCTGCGGGCCTCAGCTGCCGGCGGCCGGGCTGGCCTTGGGGCCCCCCCAGTGTCCTGGGCGGGATCCTGTCCCAGCTTCGGAGCTCCGTGTCCTCTGCGGGGCACCGACCTTTTTTCTCGCTCTCTCTCTTTTTTTTTTTTTTCTCCCTTTTCCTTCCTTTCTTTTCTTTTTTTAAGAAAACAGAAAGCTAACACTTCTTTGGAAGCTTTCTTCCTGGGCCAGAGCACAGCGGCCGCTGCCAGTCTGATAATGATTTTGCTGAGCACAGGGAATGTTCGCGGTGGAAAAGCCCAGGCTGAGGGCAGTTGGCGGGATGGAAGGTGGCACTGACGTCCCCTGGCTCTGTCTTCCCATTCGGCCCAGCTGCAGCCCCTCCCGGGTCTACCTGGTAGACCTCATTTATCCCTCCCCTGGCCCTTCTGAGGGTGGACGTTACGGCCGTCCCTAAGACTGTGTCCTTACGGAGGCTCAGGAATAGCAGGACCCGGCTTGGGGGCATGAAGCGGAAGTTCACAAGTACCTCCTGCATGTGAATCCCTAGGGCACCTGCGGGAAAAAGCAAAATCTCAGAAACTCTGATGCAGTAGGCAGAGCCCAGGAATCTGCATCTTGAAACACCAGAGCGGAGTCTCGTGCATTGCCCTGGGGTAGCCGCAGAGTTGTACCCATGCAGACCCCCTGACCTGCCCCATTTCCTTCAGAGGCTCCCTGGGGCTGTGACTCACAGAAGCCTGGAGACCACTGGTGTGGGTGATTCCATGGAAATCAGCCCTCCGTACCCTTCGTTTCAGAGCGCGTGCAAATGTCCTGGGGAGCTGGGGCTGCATAGCCAGCACCTTTCCAGATGAGGAAGTGCTTGTCTTAGAAGACTGAGCCAGGCAGTCTGAGAAAAATACCAGAGTGGAGGGAGGAAACCTCAGCCTTCGGCTGGTCCCCTGAGCGAGCCTCAGTTTCCCCCAAGGAAATTAGTCCTGGAAAGCCAAACCAGGAGCTCAGAGCCGCCATGCAGGTCCTAAAGCACTGCCCAGGCCCCCTCCAGCAGGGCTGTCCAACAGGAGCTGCCCCTGATTATTTCCTGTGACCTCAGCGTCACCCAGGACCACGTCTCTCCCCGATCGTGTCTCCCCGCTTTGTGGCATGAAAAGCAGAGCATCCCCGCTCCCTTCCACCTGCATCCCAGGGCCCCGCCTTTTTATAGATTTCTTCAACCAAACCACGTTTGTGAAGTTCCACCCCTTTGATTTGTGCTCCACAAAGCCACTGTCGGGGTTGTGACAACCACGGCTAGAACCAACTTCGGCCAAAAAGCCAAGAACTTCACCTTCCAGCTAATCTGTGTTGCGTCTTCAAGGCCGTGGAGAGGGTCCTGGGCTTTGGAGCCAGGACAGCCTGCGATTCACGCCCAGCTCTCCGCCCCACGCGAGATGGGAACTTCCAGCAAGAATGTCAGGCTCCCTGCTGTCCCCGTCTGTGACCTGGAGGCAGTACTTTCCCCCCGGGGGTCCGCTTAGGCACTAGAAGTTTCCGGGATGGACGCATCAAGGTGCTCGGTGCCAGGACTCCTGCCTCACCCTTTTCTTTTTTTTTTTTTTTCCCAAGAATTTTATTTTTTATTTTTTTATTTTTTTTTTTATTTTTTTTATTTATTTTTTTTTTACAAATAGTTTATTGTCAAATTAGTTTCTACATAACACTCAGTGCTCATCCCCAAAGTGCCCTCCTTCATGCCCATCCCCCCCTCCCCCCCACATCCATCAGTCCTCAGTTTTTGTCAGCATTCAAGAGTCTCTCATGGTTTGCCTCTCTCCCTTTCCCCCACCATTTCCGCCCTTCTTCTCCCCCTTGGTCCTCCGTCAAGTTCCTCCTAATCCTCCTATACGTGCAAACATATGGTATTTGTCCTTCTCTGCCTGACTTATTTCGCTCAGCATAACACCCTCAAGGTCCATCCATGTTGCTACACATGGCCAGATTTCATTGTTTCTCATTGCCATGTAGTATTCCATGGTATAGATAAACCACATCTTCTTGATCCATTCATCTGTTGATGGACACTTAGGCTCTTTCCATGTTTTAGCTATTGTGGAGAGTGCTGCTATGAACATTGGGGTACATGTGCTCCTATGCCTCAGCATTTCTGTATCCCTTGGGTAAATTCCTAGCAGTGCTATTGCTGGGTCATAAGGGAGTTCTATTGTTAGTTTCCTGAGGAACCTCCACACTGTTTTCCAGAGGGGCTGTACCAGTTTACATTCCCACCAACAGTGCAGGAGGGTGCCCGTTTCTCCACATCCTCGCCAGCATCTAGAGTTCTCTGATTTGCTCATTTTAGCCACTCTGACTGGCGTTGCCTCACCCTTTTCTATCGGCGTTTTACAAAATTGAGCTGAGGTGCCTGGGTGGCTCAGTCGGTTGAGCATCCGACTTTGGCTCAGATCATGATGTCGCAGTTCGTGAGTTCGATCCCCCTGTTAGCCTGTCAGCACAAAGCCCGCTCTCTCTGCCCCTCCCCTGCTTGTGCTCTCCCAAAACTAAATATTTTTTTAAAAATTGAGGTGAAACTCCTATACATCACATTGACCATTTTAAAATGTACACTTCCAGGCTATGAGCACACTCACAATGTGCAACCACCACCTCTGTCTGGTTCCAGAACATTCTTATCCACCCGGGGGAAACCCTGTGCCCCCTGGCGGTCCCTCCCCACCCCCCACCCCCCGCCCCTGGCCACCACCGATCTGCCTTCTGACTCGATGGATTCACCTGTTGTGTGCAGCTGACATCAGTGGGTCACGCCCTGTGGGACCTTTCATGTACGGCTGCTTTCACTTCCGATCGCCTCTCCCAGGGGGTGTTCCCTGACGCCCTCCCCCACCGCTTCCCTTTGTCTTGATTTCCTCATTTGTGAACCGGAGAGAAAATGTCCTCTCTTGAGGTCACCGTGAAGACTCAGTGATCGTGAAGAATCCAGAGCTCAGCCTGGCC